ACACTCATGAAACCAATTTTGAGTTAACAAAAACACAGAAACACTCGACACTTCAAGCCTGTGTCTTCATGTCTGTGTGTCTGTGTGTGTCTGCGTGTGTCTGTGTGCCTGTGTTCTTTTGTGTGTGTCTCCTTGTTTGTGTATGTGCCTGTGTCTGCGTGTCTGTGTTTGCGCACTTGTGTGTCCCACACACCACACACAACCCACTCGCGTTCACACTCACACCCGTGTTGGTCATTGACCCCGCTAATACCAATCAGGGGTATCCAGAGGACTATCACAGTCTGTTGGCACTAAGTGCGCAGTAGGCGGCCATGTTCAGCAGCTAGCTGAAAACCTAGATCTTCGAAAACTAATTTCCAGGACTGTAAATCAATTTTGAGTTAACAAAAATACCCTTAGCAAAAAATATATGTTATTTTAAGTAAGAATACAATCAACTTTTGCCAGGGAGGTACACCAGTTCAGAATTAATTAAACAAAAAACAAAAAAACAGTAGAAAACAATATGTTCGCTCAGGTTTGAGAGAATATGTCCTAGAAGATGTTTGAGCGTTCAAAAAAACCCCGAATACGTTTATCTGTGTATGTGTGCGCGTGGTTGTTCGTGTCTATGTGTGTGCCTGTGTGTGTGTGTGGCAGGCAAGGCAAAGGTGTTTTGGGACTACTTTCAGGCCTCGGTCTTTTTGTTCGTATGTGTGTATGTGTACCTGTGTGTGCGTGTGTCTATCTGTTCTTGTGTGTATGGTTGTGTGCGTCTGTGCCTGTGTGTGTTTGGCTGTGTGTGTTTGATTGTGTGTGTGTGGTTGTGTCTGTCTGTGTGTGTCTAACTGTGTGCTTGTGTGCGTGCGTTTGTCTGTAAACTCGACTGGCACAGACGAAAGTGATTAAAGGCGTTTGGTGATTATAGGCCTATAACACTATTTTGTGAGCCCGAGACACCTTTTACGAGAGAGAGAGAGAGAGAGAGCGTGCCAGACTGCCAGTGTACACACTCAAAGACACACACATGGAAAAAGACACAAACACACAGAGACACATGCTCATGAAAACACTGACACGGGCCGAGTCTGTGTTCGTGTGTGGTACATAAAAAACATAGAAACACAGACACGGACTGTGTTAGTGTGTCCGTACGTGTCTGTGTGCGTGTGTCGTTGAATGTGTTTGTGTGTGTATGTGTCTGTGTCCGTGTCCGTGTGCGTGTCCGTGTGCGTGTCCGTGTGCGTGTCTGTGTGCGTGTGTCGTTGTGTGTGTCTGTGTGTAGCTGTCTGTGTGTCTAACTGTGTCCTTGTGTGCGTGTGTCTATGTACGAACACGACTGGCGCAGGTGGAAGTGATTAAAGGCCTCTAATAGTTCTGGGGAAAATTTTCGACACTTCAAGCCTGTGTCTTCATGTATGTGTGTTTGTGTGTGTCTGTGTGTGTCTGTGTGCCTGCGTTCTTTTGTGTGTGCCTCCCTGTTTGTGTGTGTGTCTGTGTCTGCGTGTCTGTATTTGCGCACTTGTGTGTCCCACACACCACACATAACCCACTCGCGCTCACACGCACACCCGTGTTGGTCATTGACCCCGCTAATACCAATCAGGGGTATCCAGAGGACTATCACAGTCCGTTGGCACTAAGTGCGCCGTAGGCGGCCATGTTCAGCAGCTAGGTGAAAACCAAGATCTTCGAAAACTAATTTCCAGGACTGTAAATCAATTTTGAGTTAACAAAAATACCCTTAGCAAAAAATGTATGTTATTTTAAGTAAGAATACAATCAACTTTTGCCAGGGAGGTACACCAGTTCAGAGTTAATTAAACAAAAAACAAAAAAGCAGGAGAAAATAATATGTTCGCTAAAATACACTCAGCAAAAAATATATGTTATTTTAAGTAAAAATACAATCAACTTTTGCCAGGGAGGTACACTAGTTCAAAATTAATTAAGCAAAAAACAAAACAACAGTAGAAAACAATATGTTCGCTCAGGTTTGACAGAATATGTCCCAGAACATGTTTGAGCGTTCGAAAAACCCCCGAATACGTTTATCTGTGTCTGTGTGCGCGTGGTTATTCGTGTCTATGTGTGTGCCTGTGTGTGTGTGTGGCAGGCAAGGCAAAGGTGTTTTGGGACTACTTTCAGGCCTCTGTCTTTATATGTTTCTGTGTGTCTGTGTTTGTGTGTGTGGCTGTTTGTGTGTGCGCAGTTGTGTGTGTCTGTTTGTGTGTATGTGTACCTGTGTGTGCGTGTGTCCGTCTATTCTTGTGTGTGTGGTTGTGTGCGTCTGTGCCTGTGTGTGTTTGGTTGTGTGTCTTTGGTTGTGTGTGTGTGGTTGTGTCTGTCTGTGTGTGTCTAAGTGTGTGCTTGTGTGCGTGTGTTTGTCTGTAAACTCGACTGGCACAGACGAAAGTGATTATAGGCCTATAACACTTTTTGTTAGCCCGGGACACCTTTTACGAGAGAGAGAGAGAGAGAGAGAGAGAGGGAGAGAGAGAGAGAGAGAGAGTGTCAGTGTACACACTCCAAGATACACACACGGAAAAAGACAAACACAAAAAAATACATGTTCATGAAAACACTAACACGGGTCGAGTCTGTGTTCGTGTGTGGTACACCAGTTCAGAATTAATTAAACAAAAAACAAAAAAACAGTAGAAAACAATATGTTCGCTCAGGTTTGAGAGAATATGGCCCATAACATGTTTGAGCGTTCGAAAACCCCCCGAATACGTTTATCTGTGTCTGTGTGCGCGTGGTTGTTCGTGTCTATGTGTGTGCCTCTGTGTGTGTGGCAAGCAAGGCAAAGGTGTTTTGGGACCACTTTCAGGCCTCTGTCTTTATATGTTTCTGTGTGTCTGTGTTTATGTGTGTGGCTGTTTGTGTGTGCGCAGTTGTGTGTGTTTGTCTGTGTGTATGTGTACCTGTGTGTGCGTGTGTCTGTCTGTTCTTGTGTATGTAGTTGTGTGCGTCTGTGCCTGTGTGTGTTTGGTTGTGTGTGTTTGATTGTGTGTGTGGTTGTGTCTGTCTGTGTGTGTCCTTGTGTGCGTGTGTTTGTTTGGAAACTCAACTGGCACAGACGAAAGTAATTAAAGGCCTTTAGTGATTATAGGCCTATAACACTGTTTTGTTAGCCCGAGACACCTCTTACGAGAGAGAGAGAGAGAGAGAGAGAGAGAGAGAGAGAGAGAGAGAGAGAGAGAGAGAGAGAGAGAGAGAGAGAGAGAGAGNTGTGTCTGTGTGTGTTTGGTTGTGTGTGTGTGGTTGTGTGTGTGTGGTTGTGTCTGTCTGTGTGTGTCTAACTGTGTCCTTGTGTGCATGTGTTTGTCTGTAAACTCGATTGGCACAGACGAAAGTGATTAAAGGCCTTTAGTGATTAAAGACCTATAACACTGTTTTGTTAGCCTGAGACACCTTTTACGAGAGAGAGAGAGAGAGAGAGAGAGAGAGAGAGAGAGAGAGAGAGAGAGAGAGAGTGGTCGTCCACACAAAGGTAAGTGAACAAGAACTCACGAATGAAAATGAGAGGATTATCAGAAAAGGCCTTTAGAACTAAAAATAGAGGGTTATCAAAATTAACCTTTAGAAAAAGAGAAAAGTCCGACAAAAGAACTGAACCAAATCCGACAAAAGAAGTAAACCAGGAATGGTCCACCAAGTCACTCCACGTGTAAACTAAAGTGCCACAATGCACCGAAAACTACCACACCTGTGGCGAGTGCCCCTGGGTGGACCTCCCCAGGCCTCGTTCCCAGTAATGATGACACTCGAAAAATTGTCAACGGAACACATGGTTCCCAGTACAACGAAACACATGGTTCCCAGTACAACGGAACACATGGTTCCCAGTACAATGGAACACATGGTTCCTAGTAATGATGACACTCTCAAATTTGTCGACCTATTGAGGTCTGACCCACGAACCGAGTGCGCCTGGTTCCCACTTCCACGACCTAAAAGGGAAATAGCTAGCCTACTCTACGCAATAACAATTCTGCAAAAGACGAAGCCATGTGCCAAACCACACAGGTCCTACGACGAAGGGACGACGACCAATCCTGGGAGAGGCAAAGTAAAGCACCCGCTGTCCCCGAAAATACCACACCTGAGCCGTCGTTCCTCTAAATGGCTACAATACACAGCGGAACACATGGTTCCCAGTAATGATGGCATTCTCAAAATTGACGACCTACTGCGGTCTGAACCACGAACCGAGTGCGCCTGGTTCCCACTTCCACGACCTAAAAAACAGAAAGCTAGCCTACTCTACAGAATAACAATTCTGCGAAAAACGAAGCCATGTGCTCCAACCATGAAGGGACGACGACCAATCCTGGGAGAGGCATCCAGGCAAAGCAGCACACATTCCGACGACGCAGGGGCGGCGATCAATCCCGGAAGGGATGCAGGCAAAGCAGCATACACCAGAGGAGGCTCGTGTACGAATATGGCTTGGTTTCTCTTCTCGCACCAATTGCGAGAGGCGCAATCCTTGCTACATGGACCGTTGTCGATCCTGCTTCGGCTCTTTGACCAGAACGCACCAAACAAATCATTATTCGACATCAACAAATGGCAACTCCTAGACCACAAACCAAAGTAATCCTCACAGGAGACTCGTGAACGAATAAAGCTTGGTTTCGCCTCTCGCACCAATTGCGAGAGGCGCAATCCTTGCTACATGGATCGTTGTCGATCCTGCTTCGGGTCTTTGACCGGAATGTACCAAGCAAATTATTATTCGTCACCAACAAACGGCAGCTCCTGGACCTTTTGTCATTGTTGCGGGCGATCCGTGGTTTGAGGCTACTCATGGTGAAAAGAACAAGCGGAAGGAGAAGACGCGACCAAGACGGGAGAGTCGGCAGAACACGAAAGCGACTTGAGGCCACACATGCAATATAGGCCTATATGTAAAGCGAGTGTCCACACATGGAATACAAGCCTAAATTGCATGTGTGGTTTGAGGCCACACATGCCATATAGGCCTATATCGAAAGTGCGTGTCCACACATGACATATAGGCCTATAACCAAAGGATACGGTGTGGCCTCAGTCACTTCGCAGTCCGTAAGCGAGTATTTGCCTTGAGGCCAATCGCTACCCCACCCTGCGGACTCGACACCTCTTCATCGCCAGCCTTTCGTTTGCGCCCCTTCCTGCCGCCAACCGTGGTCCTGCTCGATTCCTGGCTCATGGCGAGCCTCAAGACACTCTGCTGAGCATTTGCAGCAGCGGGAACAGGCCCGGACGCAGGTTGCGTCTCAACCTCTGGTCTAGCCTCGACAGGCATGGAAGCAGGCATGGAAGCAGGCACGGGTCTGCCCTCACCGGGAAGAGGCACAGCGAAAGCGGGGGCAGCACCGGTAACAGTTTGCTCCACACCGGATGGGCCGGCAGCAGCCTTGGCAGTGGGCAAACTCGCACCTGACGGCCCGACAACAACAGCCTCAGCGATGTCCGCCACTCCAGCAGCAGTACCCGTGTTTTCGTCGGCCACGAGTTTATTTTCGACAGACTTCGTATCCCCAGACAACTTAGAGGTCGGGCTGCCTTGTGCGACCTTTTCTTTCACCTTTGGGGTTTCGCGCGCAAGTGTGTCGCCGATGTCTGTCAGAAGCCTCGTGGCTATCCCCTTAGCGCACTTGGTGTTTATCTCCACCACAAGGCAATTCCGATTTGCCTTGACGCACGCTATGGCGCCTGTGCCGGAACCGGACAAACCATCCAGAACACAGGCCCCTGTGGGAGAGAATTTGTTCACAAGCCAGGAGTACAAAGTATACGGCTTCTGGTACGGGCAGCGAACACTGCCACCGGGGTGCTGGTACTTCTGCGTCACAACATTGAAGAGCTGGAAATTGTGACGCATATCAGTGGGGTCAAAATTGTAATGCGCCATCTCGCGCTGTCCACTCTCGCTGTAATAGCCGAGCACGCAGAATTCGGTCGCACTCACAAGCCGGGGCCCACCCGGATTCGTCACATTAGGCTTGCACCACGTCAAAAGCTCCTGCTTTGCATTGCAAACCTCCCGGAACGCGGAGCGGATGGAAGGAAGCATGTCCACGGAATAGAATCCCGCAATTGTCCATAACGGGGCACTAGAAACGTCCTTCAGATTGTGAAGAACCTCCACAACGTCCGACTCCGGAAACAGCTCAGCATCAGATGCGTGGTCCTCGTGCGCGAACCCGTAAAGGAAGTCGAAAATAGCCAGAGATATCGGCAGCTTCTATGTCTGCAGCTTTGACAAGAAGCGCATGTCGCCATTGATAATTTTCACTTTCGCCGAGTCGTTGTCGTGTGTCACCTCCGTCCAGTCGACGAACGGTTCCACAAGAGGTTTCGAACGGAACACGTGAATAGCGTTCTTTGCTTGCAGTTTCCTCTTCTTGTTCTTCCATTTAATAGCCTATTTAATATGGCCATCTAGTGCGGGGATACTCGTCTGACCCCTTCTGATGCCACGAACGGACTTCTCCAAAATCTCTTTCTTCGTGTGGAGAGGATACTCCTTCTCGGCCTCCTTGAAGTCAGCAACGCCCACCCCCACTGCGAATGCCTTGCAGACGTAGGCTATTTGCTTAACAAGCTGAAACTTCTTCTCCATCTCCTTGAGCGAGATCTGCTTCGCAATGACCTCAAGGAGGATAGGGACGACATTCTCTGGAGCCATACTACCCATGGTTATCCAGTGTTGAGCTGGCATGTCCTCGACAACCATGAGGACCTTGTTACCCTGCAGTTGCACCCGAGGATAAAGAAGCGCCATTTCTTGTTCGTTCGCAACCGCCCTATCAAGCCTTTTCCCACGCTGGCTTTTCTTCGCGCCCTCGGACTCGCTCGTTTTCAGATCCTGGTCCGCTTTCAAGAAACTCCTCGCAGTTGGCTTCAGTTTTTGGCCTTTGACCACGCCCTTCTGCCACATGCTCATGATCTTACACATTAGCTCCCAAATCTCTTGGGGTTTGAAAGCACACTGCAGCAACGGGTCTTGGGCGTTCGATTTCTTCGCCGCGTTCGAAATCCCTGCTTCCAGGCAAGCGAACTTCACTTCTTGCGACTTGACGAACCCCCTGCTCTCAAAGACTTGGCGCCAGCACCTGAGCTTCTCGATGAAGCTCAAGTCCCTGTGGTAACCCTCCGCAAGGTTATGCCTGCGGGCAACCTGCCTCGCCTCATCGATCGTGAGGCCAACGTAAACATAGCAGACATTGTACTGGTACTCCTCGTTGTCGGGGTTCATGCGTGCTAACCTCTCCCTCGCTTCCCGATTGTTGCCACCACCAAGCACAAAAATGTCGTAGTCGCCGGCTCTCAGTTTCGCCAAGCTCACGTCTTCTTTGCGCCCGGCCTGGGCAGGGTCGACGAGGCCAACGAAGGGAAGATGATCTCCAGTTGGCTGCTTCAACATGGAGTCCATGATGGACTTCACATGGTCCTCATCCGGCTCTCTCACCTCCATTGGTCTTTTCCCATTCACCAGGGGTGGCCTCTTCAAACATCTCATCAGTAGGTAAAAGGACTCGTGTGAAAGTTTCTTCTCCTTCAAACTCTTAAACTCCGCCCAAGTTTTTGTCAAATCTTATGTGCGCTCGTTCGGCACGAAACCTTGGGAACGTCCGAACGAGGCAGACGCGGTGTGATGGTTTTCTTCCCGGGAATCGTCTTTGTGCCCGATCCCCTTTCCAGACTACCGGAAGACCCGACAATGGTTTGAGGAGAAATCACATCTTTGGGGCGCTGCGACCTCGCTTTCGAGCCACCCTTCGTGGCCGTCGTCGTCGTCATCGTTGGAGTTTGTGATTTTTCTGCTTCCTTTGCATACTTGAAAGGAAGAAGTTTCTCGTCCAAATTTGTCCGTAAGAAGTCAGAAAGTCCTTCCACGAACGGCTGCGCAACACATTGGAAGCAGGAGAAAAAACAATGGTCGACCAAGTGTGTCAGAGAAACTTATAGGCCTATAACACATACTTAGAGCTACACTGCGTACGACAAGTGCAATAGAACAACGCAAATGTGAAAAAGAATATTCCAGGCCTGCAACCTCAAAGAGTCAAATTTCTGGAAGTGAGGAAGACGCAGTCTATGTTATAGGCCTATAACTCTCGGATACGCCATGGAAGTTATAGGCCTATAACTCTCGGATACGCCGTGGAAGTTTCAGGCCTATGCCTTCCGGTACGCCGTGGAAGTTATAGGCCTATAACTACCGGATATGTCGTGGAAGTTATAGGCCTATAACTACCGGTTACGGCGTGGAAGTCACAGGGCTGAAAATGAAGATTTACGACTTCAAAGAAACGGAATGAAACTTGCAGCTCTGCAACTTCCTGCAAAGGGAGATATGCAGTGGGAATCAGGGGAGATGAGAGCATTTACCATGCAACCAGTCTTGTTTAATGCCAACAATTTCCTGTTTTGGATGGGCATTAATTTATCCCCCTTCAATAGACATTTCACGAGCTTGCCCTTGATAATGACCCACAACTCCGCGAGGAGACATTTTTCCGTCACGTGCGCTGCAAATAAAATTTTGCCGATTCGTATATAGACCCCGTTGCCGCTGGTCTTGACGTGAAGATAAGCTAATCCAGTTGTGACATACACGGCTCAAAAGAAGTACTTGAAGTCGCTGCGAACAGGCCTCGACTCGAGGAACTCTCTCTGCCAACTGCCGTCCTCCTCCATTGGATCTTCATCGTCGTCCTCTATTTCTTCTTCTTCTTCTTCTTCTCCTCCTCCTCCTTCGCCTCCTCCTTTCTCTTCCTCTCCCTCTCCCTCTCCTTCCTCTCCCTCTCCTTCCTCTCCCTCTTCTTCCACGAACTCTCCTTCTTCTAAAACATATTCTTCCTCATCTCCTTCTCCCATTTGGGGGAAATCATCTTGTCCCCTTGCGTCTTGAACCGCGTTTTGCTTCGCTGGTCACCTTTGCTGCACAACCCCTTCGGAGCACGCCGGCTGCCGCCGAGAAGACACTGTGCCGATTTTTCTTACACTCCTTCCCTTGCTCGCACCGCTCGCGCCTCGGGAAGTCTTCATCGTCAGGAATGGACTGCACGCAAAGAGGCATCCAAAACAAATGTCAAGCACGGTAAGACTGGTTACAGGGCCCTAACACCCCTGCTTGTTTTGCCCGTATGTCTCTGTGCCCGTGTGTGTCTGTGTGCGTGTCAGTGTTCGTGTATCTGTGTGCGTGTCAGTGTTCGTGTATCTGTATGCGTGTCAGTGTTCGTGTGTTTGTGTGCGTGTCAGTGTTCGTGTGTCTGTGTGTGTGTCTGGGAAACTGATTGACAATACAAGCCTGTGTTTTTATGTCTGTGTGTGTCTGTGTGCGTTTGGGGAAACTTTTTGACAATACAAGCCTGTTCTTGTGTTCGTGTGTGTGTCTCTGTGTCTGTGTTCTTGTGTGTGTGTCTAACAGTGATTATAGGCCTTTGGTTTTCTTGGGGAAACTTTTCAGCACTTCAAGCTTGTGTTTTTGTGTGTATGTGTGTGTCTGTGTGTGTGTGTGTGTCTGTGTGTGTTTCTGTGTGTCGCTGTTTATGTGTGTGTGTGTCTATGTCTGAACGTCTGCGTATGTTTGTGTGTCTGTGTTCTTGTGTGCGTGCCTGTGAGTGTATGTTTGTGCCTGTGTCTGTGTGGCGGCCTCAGGCAGAAAAATATGCGAAGGTGCTTGTAGGCCTTAAACACTTTTGGGACCGCTTTCAGGCCTCTGTCTTTATGTGTGTCTGTGTGTCTGTGTGTCTGCCTGTCTGTGTGTCTGTGTTTGTGTGTGTGGCTGTCTGTGCGTGTGTGTGTGTATGTGCCTGCGTGTACCTGTGTTTGCGTGTTTGCGTGTGTGCGTGTGCGTGTGTGTCTGTATGTGTGTGTGTGTCTCAGTGTGTTCTTCTATCTGGGTGTGTGCGCCTGTGCCTGTGTGTGTTTGGTTGTGTGTTTGGTTGTGTTTGTGGTTGTGTCTGTCTGTGTGTGTCTAACTATGTCCGTCTAACTGTGTCCTTGTGTGCGTGTGTCTGTGTGTGAACTCGACTGCCACAGACGAAAGTGGTTATAGGCCTATATGGGAATGTGCTTGCGTTAGTCTCTGCCATTGTGCACAGACAGACACAGGCACGGAAACAGACACAAAAAGACAAACGCACACAGACACGGGTTGAGTCCGTGTTCGTGTGCGGTGCACAAAAAGACATATGAACACAGACACAGATTGTGTCAGTGTGTCCGTGTGTGGCTGTGACCGTGTTTCTGTGCGTGTGTATGTGCGTGTCTTTGTCGTTGTGTGTGTCGGTGTCCGTGTATCTGTGTGTGTCGGTGTCCGTGTATCTGTGTGTGTCGGTGTCTGTGTGTCTGTGTGGTTCTGGGGAAACTTTTTGTCACTACAACCCTGTGTCTTTGTGTTTGTGTGTGTCTGTGTGCCTGTGTTCTTGTGTGTGTGTCTACCAGTGTGCATCTGTATCTATCCGTGTTTGTGTGTCTGTCTTTGTCTGCGTGTCTCTGTGTGTTGTGTAAATACGACTGTTTGTGCATGTGTGTGTCTATGTCTACATGTCTGTGTATGTCTGTGTGTCTGTGTGTCTGTGTTCTTCTGTGCGTCCTTGTGAGTGTATGTTTGTGCCTTTGTGTGTGTGACGACCCCCTTTCTCCCGGTGCTTCGAGGTTTGATTTTTGGAAAGACTTTGGTCTTAGGAAGGGACGTTGGACCCGGTTTTCAAAACAGTAGTCGGGATGGACCTGGAATAGAGGTAGGTCAGCGAGCTTGCATTGTAAGCAAAACTGGCTGATGCTGCCAGGGTAACTGCGGGTTGAATTGTGAGGTCCTCAGCCTCGTCCCAGGTTTTTGCTGTAATGAAATACTGGATATTTCCCCCCCCCCAAAAAAAAAAAAAAAAAACGTTCGTACCTTGTTTTCGGGTTGAGACGGTAGGGTGCCCGACATCCGCTAAGGATTCCCTTTCCTTCTTAGTTGATTGATTGATTGATTGATTGATTGATTGATTGGTTGATTGGTTGATTCACTGGACCCTCCACTTCTCCGGCCTTCCCCCGCCTTCTCCGAACTTCCCCCGACATTCCCCCTGCCTTCTTCGAACTTCCCCCGACATTCCCCGCGGCTTTCGCCCCCCCACCCCCACGCCATCAGACGCGTCCGCGGGTCCGATCTCGGATGGCGGACGCAGATGGGGCCCCGTCCGCAACCGACCTGGTCCGCGCGGCGGACCCGATTTTACCATAATTTTCCTGAATTAGATATTAGGTTAAAAAACAAAAAAAAGGGGTTGTAGGGAATTTTAAGCCCTATAACCCCATTTTTTTGTTTTTTGTAATCCGACTTTGTTTAGGATTTTTGAAAAATCAAAAACTAAATTCGATTAATTTTATTTTTTTTAAAATAATAAGAATAAAGACTAGTTGGATTTTTTTTTTGTCATTTTTTATCATGAGATATATGGTCCATGAGTTCACCTGTATTTTTTTAGAAATGAATTGCTGTTTTTTTGCAGGGGTATGAGGTGTTTTTAAAAAATGCAAATGCAAATTTTGAAAAAAAATAAAGAAAAAACTTCAAAAAAGGGGTTTGATTGATTGATTGATTGATTGATTGATTGTGAGTGAGTGTGTGTGTGTGTGTGTGTGTGTGTGTGTGTGTGTGCTTTTGCGTGTGTGTGTGTGTCTGTGTGTGTGCGCTGCCGCCGTTGCGCCTCGCCAGTGTGCGGACAACGCACTTGTGAGAGAGAGAGAGAGAGAGAGAGAGAGAGAGAGAGAGAGAGAGAGAACAACTATGTGTATGTGTGTGTATGTGTGTGTGTGTGTGAGAGAGAGAGAGAGAAAGAGAGAGAGAGAGAAAGAGAGAGAGAGAGAGAGAACACCTATATGTGTGTGTATGTGTGTGTATGTGTGTGTGTGTGTGCGCGCATGCGCTGCCTTTCCTGCGCCCACGCGCTACCCCCGCTGCGTGA